GGGGTAGAGATGGATGTCTAGCTCCACATGAAACGAGACTCTGCTCATTCAAGTGGCAGGTASTGTTTCGCCTCCATCCTCCCCATTCCTTATCCCGCTCCTCAACCTCCCAAATAACCTCCTTCCCCAGAGGGAGTGCCCGGCGCAGGCTCCTTCTCCCTAATTACCCATGGGCCCCAGAAATGCTCCAGCTGTTTGGAGACGTGGGACCGTTGCAGAGCGGGAGGTGCAGAGCCAGCAGAAGCTGAGGAGTCTGGGTGGGGGAGCGGAGCCTGATTAAAAGTTTTAAACTGCCTTGGAGGAAAAAAGGAAGTGGAATTCAGAAGTTTTAGAGGAAGAAAGTTAGAACAAAAATGTATTTTTTTATTATTATTTTTATTCTCAAACGACCCTAATATCCCTTCATTCACAACTGATTTCTAACATACATTCGTCTGACAAGAACTCCCAGGGGGCCGTGCAGAACACGTTGGACAGACAGATCCATTGATCATTTTGACTTGAGTGTTTGGTCTGCGGATTAAACGATTGGCAGGTTGACAGCTGACGGATTGACACTGATTGATCGATCAGCGCTTAACTGGAGGAGACCTCTGACAAACACGCAGCTTAAACTGCTTACGAACAGATTGATGGATTGATTGGTTTCGCCACCGGTTCAGAAAACGGCCCTTGCACCCACCGTCTCTCCCGCGACGATCCTGCGGCGTCTTGGCGGGGCCGGCGGAGATGTAGAGGAAGCCGTCCATAAACAGGGAGGCTTCAGACGAGGAGGCATTCTCTGAACGAGGGAAATCTGCAAGGAGGTCAAACACGGTAGATGAATCAGTAAAGTGATCACTCAGCTGTCATCGTTTCAGAAGAACATGCAGTTGTATTTTTGTCCGATTTTTATTCTTTTATCTATAACAGTTCTTCCTGATGGGTTTGTAAGGTTTAAATACCTTAACACAAAACTACAGACTATTTACAGTTGAACTTTGAATAAAAAAGTTTGAGTGCCCCTAACTACAGTATATTTGTACAAAGATTTAAACCGGATTTCTATATTGGTACTGGTAAATGGTAAATGGTACTGAACTTATAGAGYGCTTTTCAAGTCCCTCCGGACCCCAAAGCGCTTTACACTAACAGACATTCACCCATTCACACTCACATTCACACACTGATGATGGCAAACTACACTGAAGAACATGAAGAGGTTCTGCTGGTTTCACCGGATGAAGGTCAGAGTCTTCCTCACTCCACACAGCAGGTCAAATGACTCATGTTTGTTTCAGTCAGATCTGTGTGAAAACGTTGATTTGACAGCTTTAAACCATGTTTACACTAATCAGAGCACCGTTTCTCCTCACAGCACACACATCCACTAAAACACACACGCTAAAGCGCACACAGTTACACACAGTAACACACACTGACGGTTACACAAAGTAACGCACTGACACGGTGTGTTTGTTTTTAGAGTTTTAGCTCTCAAAGTGCTCATCGAAGTCAAGTGGATCAGTTTTAAACAGGCTTACTCTGAGTCTGAGTGTTAGTGTGTGTTAATGTGTTAATGTGTGCTACTCTTTGTGTGTGTGTGTGTGTGTGTGCTGCTCTTTGTGTGTGTGTGTGCGTGCTACTCTTTGTGTGTGTGTGTGTGTGTGTGTGTGTGTGTGTGTGTGTGTGTGTGTGTGTGTGTGTGTGT